GCACCCACCTGAAGGTCTCCAAGTTTATCTTTCAGAATATAAGTTCTGATAGAAGTAGCGTTATCAAAGGCGCGCTTTAAGCGTGCTTAAGCCATAAAGCGAGGCTCAAAACGTGTTTGAGCGCTTCGCCTCGCTTTATGTGTGTTTCAGTGTCGTCATCAAGGTTCTAAGACAAACGTTTCCTTGCCAATGAGCCTCTTATGAAGAAGTGAAACTAAATAATTGATATTTCACTTTGTCATAATCTTTTTTCAATTTCTTTGGCCAAATATTTGTCATTCATGTTTATAATTATTAAATATATTAGTCTTGGACTAAATATATATATATATATTCTTTTCTCCCTTTGCGCCTTTTTTCATTAAAGTCCACGCTTTATTTGCGCTTAAAGCCCCCACGGACCTTCGAGCTTTTTTGCGCTTTTCACCTTTGATAATAGTGGATAGAAGACCATAATTTCCTTCTATATGTCTTCTGGATTCCTGACTACTTCACCCCCCACATTTAGCTCGTTAATATTATTGTATCTTCTATGCAAATTGGCAGTTCTATGGAAGAACTTGGTGTTGTTGTCACCCTGTTTCAGCCAATTAACTTTTCATATTTAGCTATATTTTCAAACTCTAACGGAAGTTCAGCTTTTGAGTGGACCTCCTCTTCCCCAAGAGCTCTGTCATCCTGTACTTCCTCAAATTCAACAAGTTGATTAACTATGTTTTGTTTCTATAACGCCAAATTTCCTTGTGCTGATTTGCTCCACTCTCTCAACTTGATTTTAAGTGCTTTCAACTTAAAGGCTAGGATGAAATCTGTTCTTCCTTCACAGTCAAAGGACGTCCACCATTCCTTGACTCTATCCAAGAAACCCTCAATCTGCAGCCACCAATTTTCGAATTTAAAATAGGACCTCATAGGATCCCAATTCCCACATTGTAATAGACTTGGTGAGTGATCAAAGGTGACCTTTTGAAGGATTGATTGCTTGATATTTTTGAGGCCTTCATTCCACTCATCAGACACTAGAAACCTATCCTAAGTTGCTCGGACTCTTCACTTTTGGTGTCACACCCGTGTCGACACGACATGGGTGTGGGTGTGGGATCCGTGTCCGATTTGGTCAACCGATTTTGGGTACTTTGACCAAAATCAATGGGGAAAGCCCGGATAGTTTTAACTTTTAATGATTTCTGTAATCAATACAAAAGCTAAGGTGAAATTGAAGAAATTGGAATGTCTTTTATATAGAAATTGTTATGTCACCCCTTTTCCTTTAATCTCCTTTCAAGATTCTCCTCAAGTTCTCCACATAATATCTCATAATTTAGGTCTTATAACTCTATTTTTAGATATTTTAATTATATTTAAGCGAACCCCGCACCCGTATCCATACACGGATCCATATCCCCCAACCTTAAAAGTTAGATCATGAAGGATCCGACCTATAGATCCGTACCTGTATCGGACACCTGCACCCGAGTCCGAGCAACTTAGACCTATCTAGCCTAACTGCAATGTCATGTTTGTCCCCTTTCCTCCATGTGTAACTTTCTCCTGCTAATTGAAGGTCCAACAAGTTCATATCTTCAATGAAATCAGAGAGGTCAGTCATAGATTTTGTGATTCTTGAACAATTTTTCTTCTCAAAGGGGAATCTAACTGTGTTGAAATCCCCACAAACGACCCAAGGGCCGTTGAACAGACCTCTAGCTGTCCCAACTTCCCACCAAACCTTATTCTCTTTCTTCTTTACTATTTGGAGCATAGATGCCAGTAAATACCCAGTAGAAGTTAAGACTTTTACTTTATGAACTTGCAGGATATAGAGTATGCTCCCACATTGCTAACATCCCCTGTCCAAAATTTCTCATCCCAAGGAATTAGTATACCCCCTCTAGTGCCACTAGCTTCAAGTTGACAAAATCCCACTCCTCTGTTTGCCCAGTAATCTTTAACAATGTTTCTCACATCCTCTTCAATCTTGGTCTCTTGGAAGCAATAAACATCAGCCTTCCACCCTTGGATTAGATTCTTGATTACACACCTCTTATTTGCCTGATTCGGGCCCCTCACATTCCATGAAACTATCTTGACTGACATTTATCACTAGGTATTGTGTAAACCCCCTGCTTCTAGTACCATTACTTCTGACATTGATCCCACATTCTAGGCACTTTAAGTTCTTTTGAACTTTTAACTGCTGAAGTTAATTTCAAGTTCTTCTCCCCCTAGTCAGTGTTATTTTGTCTCATACTATCGATCTTACTGAACAGTCTCGTAGCTTCCTCTTTGCATCCCATACCCTTAATGTCAACTCCGAAATCGTTAGATAATTTTGTGATGTTCTGATAGATCCAAATTGGCATGTCAAAATCTGGATCATCTTCTTCCTCTAGACTACGTTGGTTTAAGGGAACTGCATCTTCAATTATTGTCAAAGAATTGTTCTTTTCGCCTCTCTGTGAATTAAGTTCTTGTGTCCAATAGTTGTCCAAAGGTCGATGAGAATCAGGAAGAACTGGGTACTTATCTGACACTTCCACAGTTTCTCTATCAACATTATCTTCCATATCGTCTTCCTTCTCCATCGAATTTTCTTCCAGATCTGTTCCTTTTGTTTTTATGCACCTTAAAACTGACGGAGGAATAGAAATGGCTTCAAGTTTAGCGATTGGATCATTTAACTGAGTGAAGGAGTTTCCAATGAAAGGCCCACTTAAAATGAATTGGGCCAGTAGATCTGGGGCCAATTTGGTCCCTTTTTACATGTTTGGATTTCTTAGAAGGAGTTGCTGAACGGTGCAAAGGCTCACGTGCTGGTACAGCAGGCTATTTCAAAATTGCTGGATCGTACAAGGAACCCATGTGTCTAGAAACCTCTGTAAAGCCTAAAAGGCTCTCATCCCCTCTATACCCAATCAAATCTTTGGACCTCTGGTTAATAGGGACAACTAGAGTTCTCTCATCGGAGGCCACCCTCGCAGACACCTCCACCCAACTCTGAACTTTGAAAGTCAAACCCTCATGAACAAAGCTGTACTGAATTAGGGACAGAATCGCCATCACCTCTCACCTTTAGCCTCGCCCATTTCAAGTGATTACGAAGCTCTGTCTCTTCTTCAGTACGAATCCAAACATCCACAGAAGTTCCCGATCTCACAGAAGACTTTCTGGGACCAAAGTTGGAGGGGTAAACCCACTACCCTGATCCAAACCTGGTCCGGCTTTTCATGGATGGAGTTCGAAGTCGGCGACCACCATTGAAGATTGATCTTGTGTGTTTTCCTGAACCATTGTCCTCTTACGATATGTTCTGCAACAGTTTTATTGGGGAATTCGAATAAAAATTGATTATTCCCGAAGTCGTATATATTAATGCCATGATGATGTCTCCAGGTACTCCCAACCGTCTACGAATCTCCGACAATGTGATATCCGGGATCTCCTCCGACAGACTTCCCACCGTACTCTTAGCTAGTATGTCATTCTGGGTTTTAGATATGGCATCTGTAATAACAGAAAATTGCCTTTTTGATGTATCTTGGCATCATTAAAGTTTCTTGTAGTCCATGTATTACTTCTGACAGTATCATAATATGAAAAACTCTCCTCTGTTTCCCTGTGTGTTGTATTAACTGTTCTCTGAACCTTAGCATTGATAAAAACTGATATATTTTTTTTGCAATGTCCATCCATTCAGAATTTAGCGACCACTCTAGGATGATGATCGCTGCTCTTCTCCTACCCTGCAAGTTAATGATGCTGATGTATCGACCATATCTGTTGAAATTTCTTGAGCAAAAGAAGTCTGAAAAAAGATCCTTGAGCTTCCACCTGCGAACTGAGTTCTCCTGTCCTTTTGAAGCTTCTTTGAGAGCGTAAACCAGCCATTCCATAGTCTTCTGGCTAATGATCATCCTGGTCATCATGTTAGGACCTCTTTCTACCCAGTCACATACCATGTATCTGCTCTAGAAACCACCCTAGTCTGTTGTAAGACTTGAAGCCTACAGCGAAAAAGATGGTGTCCTCTCCCATGACAGCTCTGGGAGGACAGAAATAGACAGATCGGAAAAGAGATATTGATGGCCTACGCCAAGCCGGAGGAGAGAGAGCGCCGGAAAAGAAAATCTGTTAACCTATGAGGAGATTGGAGTCCCACGCCACGGCACGTGAGGCGCATGATGTCGGATCTGAGGGAGATGGAGGCACATGAGAGCGTGTGATGTGTTTTTCTGGTGATGGGTATTTTTGGGGTGGGGTCGCGATAGGTTAAGGAGGCTGTGATGGAGGCAATTGGAAGAAGGAGAAAGAGATGAATTCCCATGGTCAGAAGGACCACCGGTGGGGTTTTTGGGTAGTGAGATGATTTTAAGAAGTTGCATTGTGGGATTAGTGCCTGGGAGTGAGAACTTCTTTTTGATTTTTCCACGAGCTTTTATGGAAATTAGAAGTATTCGGAACACTAATAAAATGTACTTTGCTAAGCATCTTTACGTTCTTTGTTATTGGTAAGGTAATTTTAAATGAGTAAAATAGCAAAGTGGAAATATGAAAGCTTTTGAACGGATTGGACTACGTATAGTTGAAGAATAAACTCCCATTCCGAGTTTCCATTTAATGCACCACCGAAATTCATCTTAAAGGAAGATCAAAGTGGTTTATAAGATCTTTTGAAGGGATAAAAGACTACAAAATTTGAGAATAAATTCTCATTCCTAGTTTTTTCGTAATGCACCGCCGAAGTTCAGTTTATAGAAGATCAACATCATTTGTTGAGATTCATATTATGTTGCATTTTATCTACTTTTTGGCATACCACTTGCATATGATAGACATTGTTAGCAATGTTATTTTACCAACTGAGCTTCAGGTACGATACTTAAGCATATTGCAGAGAAATACAACACGACTTTGTTTCACGCATTAAATACTCTAGACTCAAAAATCCAAATAAAAAACAAGAGTTCCCAAAATAAACATTTTTGTTTGAAGAGATCTACCTTGCTTCTTGTAGATTTTGCTGCCTCATCAGTAGAAACCCATGAGCAAGGAGGACACTCGTTTTCTCTCGCACTCCCGTGAAAGAATCCATCACTCCTAAAACTGGTCCGATCAGATCAAGGGCCTATTGCAGAACAAAAGTGCTCAGCAAACAGATTTCCAAAGAGAGAGATAAGTATCTCCATAATGGAAGGTACTGTGCCAACCTTTGCTGAGGATTCAGCATCTCCCATGCAGATGTAAGAGATTGCTGCATAAACAAAGCACATGGCTTGCATTGATTTGTTCTCACTTAGCTGCACAGAAAAGAATATACTGATAACAAGGAAAAACAGAAAGAGCAAGAAAACCCAAACTTACTATTATTAACCAACAGATGTAGTAGCATACACGGGCAGCAACATAATTTAGAAGCCAACCTATAGCGGACAAGTTGGGAGAAATATGAACGATTTCATTTTCAAAAATAGATGTATCAAGCAGACGCAGAACTATCCACAGAAGTTAAAGTATAAAAAATGGAATCTGACCAAGCCTCTAAAAAATGTAAAAAGGAGAAAACAAACCAGCAGAAGTGAAGCAGGCAACTTTATTTCAACACTGTTGATCACTTACATGGTGGTATTTCTCCTAGTTCCACAAACACTGGTTAGTATCTATGCAAGACTGAAGGATGAGAGGATTCCTTGAGACTGACGAACAAGAACACAATATAGAAACTTGCACCCAGGATCTGTACCTCAATCCCTTTTACAAAAAAGAGCATCAACTTTCAAGTTCTTCTCATCTCTCCTTCTAGTTTGCGCGTATATATATCAATAGGAGGTCAATCTGATTCATCCTTAAATATCTATCTATTATTAAAAGGAGAGAAAAGGCATCTATATAAGTCAAGTGGCAGCCTAGCAATAGGTCACTTGGCATTGCTTAAGACAATGCTTTAAAGAATTAGGAAATTATTTGAAAAATAAATAAATTTCCTACAAAATGAAGAGTTGGCTATTAATTTGAAGAGATAACGTTCAAAATTAGAAAACACATCAGTTTGGATTAGTTTCTTTCTTTTGTTGATTAAGTCTTATCAAATCAAATAATATTACTCCCTCTATTTCAATCTGTTTGTCTTGTTTTGACTTTGCATGGGATTTAAGAACTAAAAATTGAATCTTGTGGCTTTAAGCTAAAGATAGGTTGAATGAACCAAAATGTCAATCTCGTGTTCTTAGCCATGTCATGGGAAAAGTTGAAATTAAAGAGTCTTCAAAGGAAAGAGGCATTCTCTTTTAAAGAAACTAAAAAGGAAAGTAAGACAAACAAATCAAAAAATAGGGAGTATTATTTTTATAATACCACTACAAATATTTTAAAAGAGAAAATAATTAATTACTAATTGCATTTAATATTAAAATAATAATTATAAAAAATAATAGTAGATTTTCTAAAAGAACTTCATCCATTATTATACTATAAACTATAATAAAGTACTAGAAAACTATTAAGTCTATGCTCAAGATTTTTGCATTGATAAAAGTAATAAATTATTCTACTATATTATAAGAGGGAGTTAGCTAGGTGATGCAGGCAGGAGGCAGGAGGTCAACATGTTTGTCTGTCTACATAGGGATAATTTTGGCATTTTCGATCTTTTGTGCTTTGGTGTTGTGCTCTAAGGATTTATGCTTATACTATTTCCAGTTTAGGCAAAAACATCCTGGCAATTGGTAGTTTTTCTAAAAAATAAATAAATATGGGATTCATTAACTTTTGATTGTCATGTGACTATTTGTTAACATAATTGATGTATTGAAGGGCGCTTTGGTAATTTTTTGTGGTTTCTCCGTTTTAATTTGTTTGTCTTAATTTTAGTTTTTTAAATATTTGATAATTGCGTAGAAAATACTATAAATCACGATAAATTAATAAATTAAATATTTAAAAGGCATAAAAAAATTTGGTTCACTCTTAAAATTCTATTTGTGCCACATAAATTAGGACAAAGAGCACAATATATATAATTTGAAAATTACATAAAGAATACTATAAATTACAATGATTAACAACTAAAAGTTTTAAAAGACATTAAAAATTTGATTGACTCTCGATATTCTATTAGTGCCACATAAATTGGGGAAAGAGGAAATAACCTATTTTATTTGAAAATTGCATAAAAAGTACTAAATATCACAATAATTAAGAACTTAAAAATTTAAAAGACATAAGAAATTTGGTTGACTCTTGAAATTCTATCCGTGCCACAAAATCGGGATAAAGAGAATAACGTATATTATTTAAAAATTATGTAAAAAGTACTATAAATCACTATAATTAACAACTTAAACTATTTAAAATTAATATTGAAATTTAATTTGACTCTCTAAATTCTATGTGTCACATAAATTGAGACAAAAATAACATATATTGGGCCGTGCTAGCACGAACTCCTGTATCTAGTTTTCCTCTATAAAGAAGAGATAGATTGTTGAAGGGAAGAAAAGGATAAGTAAAGATTAAGATAATATAGAATAATTAAACTTTTGCATAAAAAAAGAAGAATTTAATTTGAGAGATTATCAAATATTCTCTTAATCATAGTGTATTCTTATTTTTAAAATCATGTTATGTTTTCGAGTTGTTTGCATCTTATTTGGAGTTCATCAAAATGATATTTTTCATGCATCACAGAGGTAGCTCAAAATTCCAAGCATTTTCCCAAAAGAATTCCAAACATTTTCCCAAAATTCTTTTTTAAACATTTCACAGTACAAAAATTTTCACAATTTAATTAGGTAGCTCAGTATTTTGCTCAAATTATATTATAAACTACCTCTTATGATCAAAATACAATTGTTACAACCATTATATTGTGAGAAATATAGGAAAAGAATATTATTGAATTGTTGTCTCTACATTATTCCAGAGAGACCCTATTTATAGATACTACAATAGACACCTTTTCCAACTAGGACACTACAATACAATCCTTTTCTAAGTAGGGCACTATATACTATTCCTATTACTATTACTATTCTTATTCCTATTCTAAGTAGGATTGTATATACCTATTACTATTCTAACACTCCCCTTCAAGCTAATGCATACAAATCATATGTATCTAGCTTGTTACAAATATAATTAATAAGAGGACCGATAAGGAGCTTAATGAGATATTTGCAAGGTGATCACTCAACTTCACAAAATTAACAGTCAATCTCAATATGCTTAGTCTTCTCATGAAATACTAGATTTGATGCATAATGTCAGTCAATCTCAATGTGCTTCGTCTTCTCATTAAATACTGAATTTGATGCATAATGTCGATAAAACATAGAGTGATTAAATTACAGTGTTGAACTTCCCAAACCAAGCTTGAACGGGCTATTTCAGACCATAGAGTGACTTACGTAATTGACATACAAAGCTGCTAAACCTCCCCTGAGAAACAAAATTTGGTTGTTGCTCCATATAGACTTCTTCACAATGCAATGATCACCGGAAAGTTCTCAAAATTTAGTATAAAGTAAATGGATCAAGATGGAATCAATAGACGAGTCGATATTAAATAAGAAAGTCACCGGAAAACTGGTCGGAACATGCTCATACGCCGGAGGGTTTTAGCTCTAACTAATCAATGAGAGTAAAAATAATCTCATGGAATGTGAGGGGGCTGAATGGGAGTGATAAAAGGGACACTGCTAGGAAACTAATACATCAGTGGGAAGCAGATATTTATGTATTAGTTGAGACAAAGTTGGAGGGTAATATTGATGGATTAATACCGAACATATGGGAAAATAGATGGATGGGAGAAGTTCATAAGGAGGCAATGGGGAGCAGTGGAGGGATTGCAATTTTGTGGGATAAAAGGGTATGGAAGGGGGAACTGGTGGAGATTGGCAGGCAAAGCTTAACTGGGAAATTCACAGGGGTATGAAGACTTCAGTTGGCACATAACTGCAGTATATGCTGATTGTAGTAGAGAGATCAGAAAGGTGTTGTGGGAGGAATTGACAGCCATCAGAGGAAGGTTTGTAGGACCATGGATAGTTTGTGGAGATTTTAATGTTACTAGATACCCATCAGAGAGAACAAACTGCCGCAGACTTAGTGGTGCTATGACAGATTTTTCCTCTTGTATTGAGGAGCTGGAGCTGATTGATCCTCCTTTATTTGGAGGATCTTATACTTGGAGAAGAGGGGACAATCATATGAGTGCTTCAAGAATTGATAGATTTCTTCATTGTGCACAATGGGGGGAAAGCTTCATTCACATCAAACAAAATGTCTTACCAAAAATAACATCTGATCATAATCCTATTATGCTAACATGTGGTGGTTGGGAATGGAAAAAATCTTATTTTAAATTTGAATCTTGGTGGTTGGAGGTAAGGGATTCAAAGACAAGGTAAAGGAATGGTGGGATTCTTTCAACATTGAAGGGAGAGCAGGATATATATTAGCTGAGAAAATGAAATTGTTAAAGGTAAAGATGAAAGAATGGAGCAAAGAAAACAAAGGTAACTGGAAGCAGAGAAAAGAAGACATTTTAAGTCAGATAGCAAATTGGGAGATAATACAGGAACACAGAATGCTTACTGATGATGAAATTTTACAGAAGGTAAATCTGGCCATGGAGTTTGAAGAGATAGCCAAGAAATAGGAGATAGCATGGAAACAAAGATCCAGGGTACAATGGTTGAAACATGGAGACAAGAATACAAAGTTTTTCCACAGAATCGCCATCTCTCATAAGAAGTTCAATACTATGGAACAACTTGATATAGAAGGTAACATTGTGAAAGATCCAGCTATGATCAAGGAGGCTGTCCAAAATTTCTACATAAATTTATACAAGGAAGCTGAACACTGGAGGCCTGATCTGAACATTCAAGATGTTAATATGATAGAGGAACAATTATGGTTGCAAAGACCTTTTGAGGAAGAAGAAATCCTAGAAAGTATTAGGATGTGTGCTAAAGAGAAGGCTCCTGGACCGGATGGCTTTCCAATGATTTTCTTTGAGACTTTTTGGAAGGTTTTGAAGGAGGACATAATTAACACTCTATCACATTTCCACTCCAATCAGAATTTTGAGAAAAGTTTCAATGCAACATTCATTGCTCTAATCCCTAAAAAGGCTGGATCTTCAGAATTAAAAGATTATAGGCCAATCAGTCTTGGTCTACAAAATCATAGCTAAATTACTGGCAGAAAGACTTAAGAGGGTGGTGAGCAAATTGGTCAATAAAAATCAGATGGCTTTCATAAAAGGGAGACAGATCATGGACGCTGCATTGATAGCCATCGAGTGCATAGATTCAAGGATGAAAGGTGGAGTTGCGGGTTTATTATGCAAGTTAGACATCCAGAAAGCATATGATCATGTAAATTGGGCATTTTTATTGAATGTTTTGAGACAAATGGGCTTTGGCAGTAAGTGGCTAAAATGGATAGAAGTGTGCATTAAAACAGTCAGGTTCTCAATACTAGTAAATGGTGAACCTGTTGGCTTCTTTGCATCAGAAAGGGGGCTGCGACAAGGTGATCCACTGTCACCTTTTCTCTTTATTCTAGCAATGGAAGGTTTTGACAGTATGATGAGAATAGCTACACAGAACAGGTGGATCAAGGGTTTCCAAATAGGAGACAGAATAGGGAATGGAAAGGAGATCAGCCATTTGTTATACACAGATGATACTATCATCCTTTGTGAGCCAGAAGCCGAACAGCTGAACTACATCAGATTGATTCTGATCTTATTTGAAGCAGTATCAGGGCTAAGGGTCAATTGGGGGAAAAGCAGCTTGATTGCAGTCAAGGAGGTGCCTCAGATTCAAGGATTGGCAAGCATTCTAGGATGTAAAGTAGAGAAATTGTCGACAACCTACTTGGGAATGCCACTAGGGAGCAAACATAAAGCTTTGGGGATATGGGATGGAATTCTGGAAAAAGCAGAAAAAAAATTATCAAGATGGAAGGCTCAATATCTATCCTTGGGGGGTAGAGTGATCTTGATAAACTCTGTTTTAGATTCACTGCCTACTTATGTTATGTTGTTATTTCCAATTCCTCCAATAGTTATCAAAAAGCTGGACAGACTGAGAAGAAACATCCTCTGGAAAAAAGGCAAAGAGGGAGAGGACAAGGGTTACCATTTAGTGAAATGGAACACTGTGATGCTAAGCAAAGAAAGAGGGGGACTGGGTATTAGAAATTTGAGAATCCAAAACAAGAGCCTTTTGATGTAGTGGTTGTGGAGATATACTAGTGAGGAAGGAACCCTATGGAAGGAGGTGATAGTGGCAAAGTATGGGGAATTGAACCCATGGTGTACAGAGATAGTGTCAGAACCCTATGGATGGGGAGTATGGAGGTCAATCAGAGCTTTATGGAACTCTATGGAAGAAAATGTGTTTCTCAAGGTTGGAAATGGCAACAAGATCAAGTTTTGGAGAGATGGATGGATTGATCAAATTCCTCTAAGTGAGTCATTCCCAGATCTTTTCTCAATCTGCAACAATCCTGAAACCAGAGTATGTGAAAGCTGGACAACTCAAGGTTGGGACCTATCTTTCAGAAGGCTATTGAATGACTGGGAAGTAGATAGAGTGGCTTCTTTCCTGGGAAAATTGGGGGGAACCAATCTAGTAACAAATGCACCAGATAGAGTTATTTGGAAGCACAACAAGGATGGCAAATTCACAGTAAACAGTGCTTACAAGAAGGACATACAAGTTGGGGTTAGAGGCTACCATCATCACTGGAAGAGTATTTGGAGAGGATTGATCCCCACCAAAGTGAAATGCTTCACCTGGTTAGTCATCAAAAGAGCCTGCTTAACTCAAGAAGTACTGCAGAAGAAAGGAAAGCAACTAGTCCCTAGGTGTTTCCTATGCAATTTGACTGGGGAAATAAACAATCACCTATTTTTACATTGCAAATTCACTGCACATATCTGGGGAGCTGTTTCTCAACATCACATGCTATAGCTGGACTATGCCAGAACAGACCTCTGATCTTTTTAAATGTTGGATCAGAAGGGGGGGTAGCAAGACTCAAAAGAAGTGGTAGAAGCTAATACCATCATGCATATGGTGGTTAGTGTGGAAGGAAAGAAATGGGAGATGTTTTGAAGATAGATCTAATTCCATTCACAAAGTAAAATGGAATTGTTTGGTATCTTTACTTTTTTGGTGTAAACAACTCTGCATAGAAGATGTAGATCAAATTATAGAATTAATAGGGAGCTTGTAATTTCGCTTAGGGATGTAAATTTTGAAGGTGGCCAGCATGTCCTTAATGCTGAAGAATACAACTTTACCAATGTTCAAAAAAAAAAAAAGAGTATTAGATTTGATGGTTGAAAGTGGTTACAATCTAAATTGTGAGAAAACTCCTTTGCATTTTATATTTAAAATAAACTACACTGAAGCTTCAAGGAAATGATGATTTGCACTAGCTGATTTATACACTTACGAAAAATAAGGAAGGCTCTTCAAGAAGGATTCAAATTTACACATACCCTTGAAGCTTCAAGGAAATGATAATTTGCCTCATCATAGCAGCCGACACAATGTGCATACTGTCCTCGAAGCATTTCAATAACACACTCACAAGCTTGTAAAATTGTTGGAAAGCGAATATACCAATTTCTCATCTGCACCAATGCCTAAATTAAAATAAAAGATTCTATTAACCTTTCCATCATATAATAAATGCATGGTATCACATAACAGAAAGAAAGAGTGAGAACACAATTAATAATGAGTTCCTGTACTTAAAGAGTCATGGATTGCCAAATTGACAACGGCTGAAAATACCAAAGTGGAATTGGCAAAAGTAAGGGACATATCACTCACCAAACCAGGTTGATTTTTCCGGACAAATGCTTGCTCTTAAAACTCTTAAGAGCCATATGGACATTATTGGAAATCAGTGATTTAAAATCATGTTGATTTGAAGTCCCCAACTCTTATGTAATCTCACTAAAAGAGCAAATCATAGTTCATAAACATATCGGAATTTCCTAAGACGCCCAGTTAGTAAATCACATTTCTCCATGTTCCTTCTATAAATAGATATTTGTGATTATATGTTATTATAAACTTCCAAATACACATAATTTTACAAGGATTCACTAGTCCAATAAATCAACAATAGTAGTAATTAGTTATTCTTTGATAAAATTCTCCTACATGGTAGGGACAATCTCTTCACATTGACCATGAATCTTTTTCCGCAAAATTTAAAATTATGGTCTTTTTTTGTAAAATATAAGCTTATGGTCAAGTTTTACATTTAAAAAATTTTGAAATCACACTTCGGAATCCCAAATCTTGTTTTTTTGAGAATTTGGGATTAGAAATCATGATCCCAAATCGCATGTCCAAATGCCAACTTAGTCAAGAAGTGGTACGCTACATTATATGCCTTCAAGAAACTAATATTCAGCTGTGAAATCCAAAAAACGGTGGGGTTTCTATGACAGGAAGATGGAATAATACAAGGGTTAATACCAAAAGGTAAAGAATACAAAAAGACATAATTATCTACAAACTCCACCCATTCTTCTATACAACAAGGAACTTTATGGGTGCACCAAAAGAAAATAAGTGACAGGAGACTACTCGTCAGCTGAGTAAAACTCAAATCTACCCCCCTCAAAAGCTCTCCTATTTCTCTCCAAATAACCCACATCATCGCAAGAGGAACCATATTCCATACCCTACGTCTTCTCCTCCTTCTCCCGTTCCTCCAACAAAACATCAAATACTTCATAGTTTTTAACATTGCCCAAGAAGTTCCAAACACCTAAACATATCCCACCATAACCTCATAAAGGTGTCCTTAGTATTCATCAAATCATCAAGTTCTCAACATATCTGCTTCTTTTTCCTTATTTGCTGGGCTTAATTCCGTGTTCTTTGTGTTTTGTCTGTAACACCATTTGGTATAGCCGGCTTATAGAAAACTGACGGATTTCTCCTTCTGTTGTTTTTCGAACAAGCAACTGATAACATGTAGAGGAGCAGAGTTGCTATAGCAGCCATTTATATTCTAATTCTCACTGTAGCATTTTAAACCCTCGACATTCTTGACAAAGCCACTCCTCTCCACCCATAGAAACCCATGATTTTACTGGTAAGCCGCTTTAGTAAGCTTACTAGATTATTTACCTTATCAAATTAGTAAGCTGACTAGATTTCATTCTTTAATAAATAATCCATAGAGCTTTAAGATATTGAATGGCAATGAACAGAAATAGACAGAGCTAGAAAGCAAACCTCTTGCGCTTCAACAAATTCAGAACGCGTAAGATCAACTGCTACTTTGTTTTCAAGAAAGTGCATAAGGAGCATCAAATAGACACTGGCAATCCAAATAGCAGAGTGTTGCAAATCCACTTCTGGCTCAAGAACATTGCAGAAACAGTTTTAAAGCAATGTAAGAAAATACCTATAGCATGACACTACAGAAAGCACATGTACCAACAATTTAGATAATCACTGACCATATATAAAATCACTTTTTTCTCCACAAAATTGAAATTTTGCATAGTGAAGTGGACGGTTTGTTAGATGTATATTAATAAGACTACACAAATATACAATTATAATGATGTAGAACAAATAAGGGAAGGAAGGAGATAAGGCCGGGAAGGAATGAGAAAGGGCAGAACAGGCATAGAGAAAGAAAGAAGCATGAGAGGAAAAATTAAAAAAAATGAGAGAGAGAGGGAAAATGAAGAAGGGAGGATAAGGAGATAGAGCAAGATGTCATAATCGTCAAATCAATTTATCAAATATTATGAGTCACTTAAAAACAAACTTCATGAGGGTCGTATTTATAAGATAAATTTTCAACAATTTAGAGCTTACCAGCGGCTGGTAAACATGTTAGATGGGAGGTTGGCCTGGCACCTACAAAAAGACAACCCCAAGCCAGTCTACACACACACACCCCACCCCTTGTTTTTTTTTTTAAAAAAAAAAAGGGTAACAGATTTCAATATAGTCAATAAGTGGTTGTGAGCACAAAGATTGTGCTAAGAACTCAAACTAGTTACAAGAGTCCAAGAAAATTCACCAAAAAAGAACTAGCAATCAAACAGAACAAGGACCCAATGAGATCTACAAGAGACTCTACATCTTGTACAAAAGCTTCTTTACACCGAAAGTAAAAACAAAAAATATACACTTCATCTTGATCACTTATTCAGAGTTAGCTTAACTCTTCAAAGCATCTTGAGTTCCCTTCCCTCCAAATACAATCTAGGACAATGTCCCACCACCTCTTCTGTCCCGATCCTTCACCTGTGCCATTCCAGCATGCCAACATTTCATCAACTCTCCTGGGCATTCTCTGCTCAAGCTTTTCATACTCATGAACAGCTTCCACAATCTGTTGTCACCTGACAATGTAAAAATAAATAGCTAATTCTTTCACTGTCTTTACCACACAACAAGCATTTTGAGCACAGGCGCAGTCCTCTCTTGATCAAATTGTCATGTGTTAAACAGCCTGTTTCACCACTAACCCGTAGAACAATACCACCTTGAATGGTACCTTCATCTTCCGTAGTGCTTCCAATGCCAAGGCCCATAATGTTGTCCAAACCCTGTTTAGAACCTTATAAGCATATTTCACAGCAAAAAAAATCCTCTGATGTTTCTTTCCCATACCAGCCTGTCCTCTTGCCAAATAGTTCCTCTAAAATTTTCAAGATGTTTGAAAAATTCAATCACTCTATTCACCTCCAATCATTTAAAATCTTCTAAAGCTTAAGTTCCAACAAGCTTAAGTTCCAACCCTGGTGACTCCATATCTCAGCTACAGTTGCATCAGGTTGTTGCACTACACTGAAAATGCCTGGAAAAATTTAAAAATATTTTAAGTGGCCCACTCCCAATCTAATCATCATTCCAAAAAAGGAAGTCTTCAACCCATTGCCCACTTTGATGCTGGGTTCTTAAAAAAATTCTGCCAAAGACATCTTATTGATCTACTTACGCTTGCTCCATATGAACTAGCCACATTGCATGTACACCACTGTCCCTACCTCCATATTTTTCATTGATCACCATCCTCCATAATGCTTGGTCCTCCAATGGTAGACATCCCTAGCCATTTCATTAGTACTCTTGTTTTGCTGTCTCAAGTTTCTAATTCCCAGACCCCCACCCACCCTCCGGTTTGTGAGAGTTTTCTGGTTTACTAAATGGTAGCATTTCTTCTCCTTATATACTTGCCATATGAAATTCCTCCTGAAGGCATCAATCCTCTAGTTGACAGAAGGCCTGAGACCGCCTCAACAGTTGCTATAAACCACAGATGTGTGGCTTGCTCCACTTTAACATCATAGAAAATCAGAGAATCATTGGTATACAATGTGTTATTTCCAGACTTCCACCATCATTGTATAACACCCTGAAACCCCTTAACCATACATCCATATTTGCCTTCTTGAGCATACCATTCAACTCCTTTCAATAGCAATAATGAAAGAGAAGGGTGAGAGTAATCCTGCCTTAGCTCGCTTAGCCCTCTCTGAGATAGAAAGGAGCCATCAAGGGACCCTTCTTAAGGGCCCTCAGTTGATTAGTGTTCTTAGCATGACCTCCCTCTCCAAGAATCAGAATAGACTAGCGCCAAATTCCCAGGCTGCCCAGCTCAGAGAGGCCCATAACAAACAAAAAAAAATTCCTTCCAAATAGTCCAATTCCTTTGGATGTGCAACTATCAGGACGGCATTTCAATATGCTCATCTATTACAGAGATTGGAATAATTCAAAACAAAAGAATCAAGGGATACTCTCATATACTCCATCTCACAGAGAGAGGCGTCCATGACTGAAGGTGAAGAAATGCATTTATGATAAGTGAAACTACCAAATGTCTTTGTGTACTCTTTTCTCCTATTATTTAGGGAAGTGGGAAATGCTCTACCATTGGGATCTTACAGTTCCTCAATTTTGCAACATAGTCATTAAAATTATTTTTCTCTTTTAAACTAGTCACTTCAGCACGTCGTAAAAAAGCACCTGGACACAGTTCCCAATACCCTTTCTCTCTCCTACTTCTTAGGAGAGAGAAGCACATCTTTTCCGGTTACTCCCACCGGATTCAACCCTTTTCTTTCAAGCCAACAATAATCATCCACTGTGATTATTGATAAATTACTTTCCAATAGAATGGAGGAAAATCGAATCTATTTCAACACAGGATTTAAGTCTTCCAATATCACCAGATAGGAAAATGACAAAGTTGAATGGTACGAATGGGTAGGAGAAGCAGAAAGATGATGCACAGATCTTCTATGAGTAGGAAGGTGATGGAATGGATCTGCCAATGCTTAAGAGAAGCATCCAAGGAGAAAAAGAAGGTGACAAGAAGATGGAGAATGGTTGAGCATGAGTCGGAGCACTATTGCACAAGAAAGCATAATATACATGGGAGGTTCATAAGCATCATAGCATTATATAGAGGGGGGAGGTCTGGAATTATAGTACCAGAGTTGGCATCGAATGCTGGGTGGTTGGACATTTCTTTGAAGATTGATAGATTCATTAAATGTCAGAAGGTAAAGGTGAAAATACCCAGCACTAGGGTGGTCTTGGATTACCCCTACACTACTGCTATTCAAGATAGTAAATAGCAATCCAAGAATTTACGCAATGCAGAGATCAAAAATATGAGGGGTACAGTAGAAATCCTAGATAAAATAGGAGCGCACGAAGGTGACCTTTTATCTAGATGTCTAGTAGGGTTTTGTAATGAGAAGTCTACAGAGAGGCAAACTCTAGCAAATCTAAGAAGATGGTCGTCTTCTAACTGGAAGAATGTTTTCGGAATGACATATACGAGCTAAATGATGAAAGATTTATGTTTGAGTTCCCAAACAGAAACATGGCAGAACAGATTATCCAGGGCCAGTGGAGATGGAAGACGTGTAGCCTTCATCTCGAATGGTGGACACCAACAACAGGATGTATTTCTAAGTCTGCCTGTTAAAGAAACATGGATCAGAGCGGTGGGAATTACCCTGTACCTATGGTCAAAGAAGGTCTTCCAAGAGATAGGCGAGATCTGTGGAGGTTGGGTGGCTACGGAGGAGGAAACAGAACTGAAAAATCATATGAAGTCGGCGAGGATCCTAGTTGCAAACAATGGTAGAAAAATTCCGAAAGAGGTGGCTGTGTCGCGGAACAGCATAAAATTCTACTTTCAAATCTGGCTGGAATGTTCGCCAAGATTTGAAATTATGCTGAAAAACAATAAGGGGAAAGAAGACACCTTTTACCCAGTCCAACGATTTAACCAAAGGATTTTAGCAGAGAGGATCTGTGATGATGATAGCGAATCCCGTCAACTTAGGGATTTTCCAATACTGCAGCACGTGGCCCCTGCAAATAAAGTCACGATATCAGCTCGTGAGGGGCACATGAGCCATTTAAATGAGGGGCATGTGAGTCATTTAAAGGAAATCCCAAAGGAGGGCTATACGTCTGGGCCAAATAATTCACAGGCTTGGTGCATAGGCCCAGATGTGGCAGCCCAAGTTATTGTTAACAACTTTCAAGGGGAAATAGAAGGCTTGCTGACAGCCCAGAGATCTTTCGATTGCATCGAGAAAATAATAGCACAAAGAGTCTTACACGGTGATTCTCAAGTCACTGAGAACAGTCCAACGTTCACAAGGATGGTGAGAAATACTCAGAGATAATGGGGGATAAAGACACCTTGATGGAGACTGAAGACACTGATAAACAGGTGGAAAGCAATCACGCAACAGATGAGAGCGATCATGACAACAATGGGGTAATATTACAAAATCCTATTACAGAGATAGTCAACTGGGAAATTGATGAAGCAGAGCTTATTATGTCGCAACAACAGTCTATGCGAGCCTCAATATAAGTGAATCTGTCTGGTCCCATGGCAGATAAAAGATGCTACTTTAGAGACAAAAACGCCTACAAAATATTACTCAGTAAAGAGTAGAGCTTTACAAAGCAACCAGCAGAGTAGTTGATAGCAAGCTACTGCCACAAGTAAACTAGAATCTATCTCTTACCAAAAGAATAAGCCTAACAGCACCAACTAAAAAATAGATAATCTATAGCTAACAATAATTTCATGTCTATCTAAAATAAAGAAAATAATATCAAAGACAGAAAATAGTGAAAATGACAATAGACAAGATTTTATTTCTAACTAAAAGAAACAAAACCAAAGATAGAAAATATGATAATATGGCATCTCATGATCTAGCATCACTTAAGGAAGATAAAAATAAATGCATAAGGAAGAAACAAGAGCCCTTACCTCTCATTCCATCAAGAATCCCATACTTTTTCAGCTCCTCTACATGAATATAACAATTCAGAATTCAGATATGAGAATAGAATCTTAGCATGATGGGATAAAAATAAATTGCTAGAAGGCATTCTCTAGCTAATGGACTGATTCGTGAATTTTTGCAAAATTTTCAAGACCAATACGAAATTTTATAGTCTCTACCAACAAGGAACTTACAATGTTGGTATTTAACAAAAAGGTAACTAGTAATTTCCAGTTCCTATCCTATACATGACATCTAGTTAGGCCCAGGTCAAGGAAAATAAATTTACAGTAAACCTCAAGCACAAACTGCTATGACTAGAGAACACAGACAAACATAAACAATAGTTGTTTCAGTTCATGGAGCAAGAATGAGTTCACTTCATGCAGTCTAACCTAAAATGTAATTCACCAGAGGAATGCTCATTTAGATTAATTCAATATTGTTGATACTTTCTCTAGGACACACTTCTATCTTATATTATAGAAGATCCTCAAGTAACACAGTTCCAGTGTTTATTTAACAAAATAAGATGGTCAATAAGAACCACGGAATTACAAACAATTTCTAGATTTAAGGAACACTAAGTTGACGGTTTAATTTAGCAAATACGGTGAGTTGTGACGTGATTGTATTAACCCGTGATTTACTTGACTGCAATTTCCATGGTCGAAGTTTGGTTGCATGCTAAAGAATAAAGGTTGACTTAATCCACCAAATATGGGAACATGCATGAGAGATCCATTACCCCGAAATTTAAGGTTATAACCCAAAGCTGCCAAGTGTGATGATATCCATAGACCGATTAGGAAACCAACAATCAGTACTAACTTACAGAACACTGACAAATGAGAAAGTGTGAAGATATAGGGTGTGTTTGGTATGAAGGAATATATTTTCCACAGAAAATGTTCTCTAGGAAAATAAGTGGGTTTCTTACTTATTTTTTTGTGTTCGGTACATATGTAAAAATATTATCCTAAAAGTATTTGTAAATACAACATAGGCAAATACTATGAAACGTGAGGTGGGGTAGGGGTGTGGGGTGGTGTTGATGGGGGCTAGGGGGTGGGGATGAAAATGAGGTGTATTGGAGGGTGAGGAGGACATAATCAATGTGGAATGTCACTTGTGGAACTTTTTTTCTCTACTTCCACTAGAAAAGTAAGTTTCCCCATTTTAAAGAAACTTATTTTTCTAAAGAAAATATTTTCAAAAATTGACTAACCGAACATGCAAAAATTGGAAAACATTATCTGGAAAATGTTTTCCACCATACAGAACACACACATAGAGCCTACTGTACCCTATTTCATAGAACCAACCTTGAACAGTTTGCAGGCCAGACTGGATCCTCTTCAAGCACTCCTTAAAAAGTCCTTTTGGACGGTTAAAAACGGTTACTGTAAGGTCTATCAATGCATAAATAGCACCTTTAGGTAGCCACTCTCCATCAACAGGAGGTGGTGCCAATTCAAGCTTGTCTTCCCAAGTTCGTCTCGCACTTCCAAAGTATATTGGTTCAGAAAATTCTTTGTCATTTCCTGTTAAGTTACTAAGTTGCTCCTCAAGGTGAGCTTGTTTTGCAGAAAGAGCAGATCTGTCTCTGTAATTTAAATCAGAACGAGAGAGACTTTCATTCACTGCATCAAGCTCCTTACTCAGTTCGTTGATCTGTTGCCTCCTCTGTAAATCAGACTTCATGGCAGCATCCAATTTGTCAACATGTTGACCAGCATTCTTGTAGTCGCATATCCGAAGTAGATAAAATACATGCAACAGCTCGTTGTAAAATAGTAAACCAAGGCATTGCTGTCTCTTTTGGATTTGAATGAAAAAATAGAACATCAGTTGACATCACAAGCCACATTTTTAAAAAAATCAGCATTTATAAAAAAAATGATATGAAAGTCTAAGCGATATATCCATTCAAGATACATCAAAATGGTTCAAAAGAGGAGATATTGTAGTAAAGAAGGGACAATATGTTCCTAACTTCCTATTTTCTGCAAAAGGACTCCACAGCATATAATATTGAGAAAGAGGTAAAGCACTGGACTCACTTTTTCCAATTCAATAGATTCCCATATTACATTGCATCTGTTGAGAGCATCTCGAGCGGAACTTTCATTCTCCCATTGCATGAGGTGCACATGCAAGATCGAAGTTGCAAAAAACATCTAACAACACCAACAAGAGAAATAATGAACATCACAAATAACTAAATAACCAGATCATAAGGATATAGTTAATGACTCTCAGATTAACAAACCAAACAAAAGCCAGAAATCACTTATATCAGAATTATTGGTGTCTGTCTTTGTAAACTAGAACATAACCATGGAACAACTACAAACAGACACACCTGGCACTAGGATCATGATGACACTGGAAGGAATCTAATTGGATTCATGCTAACAGCCATCAGTTTGTCTCCCAACACCAATATTTTTAGTTCTTTTTTAATAGACCGAATGAACTGAGAGACCTGTCTTGGCTCTGTTTGTCACCTGGACCCTTCTATTCACGGATTTGCCAACTCAACACTTAAAGTTATTAAAACGCGTTATTTTAAACCCCTCTAATCATGTGTCTCAATCACGCTGATGTGGATAACACATCACTCTCTACATCAGATAAAATTGTTACTTCGGTTTAAATTGCCACATCATTTTTATTATTACAAATACTATTTTTCTAAAAGGAAAATCTCAAACTCATCTCCAAAATTAGTCTATTTATGGTGATTCTCTTCCCTATCTTTCTTGATTTCTTCAATTAACTAGAATAGTTTGTTTGTCTTTCCAAGACTTCCATTTTGTTTTCTCTTCTAAGGTTTTTCATCTATTTTGCTATTTAGTTCTAATCTTTTCTTTGTTTTTCCCCCTTTTCTCCTGTTAAAGAGGAGACAAGCAAAGCCTTGTTAAGGTATTTTATTATAAATTTTGTTATTTAATGGTGGTGAGAAAGTGACTAAAATGGAGAATGAGAAAGAAAAGAAGGGGGCCAGAAGATGGGTCACTACAGAGAAAACCATCCAAAATCCTATAGTTAAAATTGCCTTCAATTTTGAAAGCATCAGACATATGTGTTTCAAAATCCCATCTAAAATCCACCTCCATTTCACAAACATGAACCTCCCACTCTTTTGCTCTTTTTCTTCCGCACAAATCTGAATAAACACCCTTTTCCCCAATCATTCCAGAACTCTCAGATGTACAATTTTGAATTCAAACGTCGCAATCAAAGAGAAATTTGTATACAAACAAACCATACTATAATGAGGGAGAAAGAAATAGAGAGGCTGAGAGGTGTTGTGAGGGATTGTGTGAGCAAGCATATGTATTCTTCAACCATTTTCTTTGTTGATGAAGTAGTTGCAACTATCTCTGACCCAACTGAAGATTATAGGAAGAGTATGGAAAGAGGAAGAAGGGTGTGAGTGTGTGTGTGTGTGGTGGTGGTGGTGGGAGGGGGGAAGGGGGAAAGAGGGGATGATTCACAATGGGAAAATTATGAGGAAGAAGCAGATATAGGGATGGAGAATTTTCTTTCTTTTCTTTTAATTGTTATATTTTTACTTTTAATTTTAATATTTTTTAAATTAGAATTATTGCCTTCACTTACTTTGAAACGTGTGTTACCATGCATTTTATCTGATTCAGCAAAATAAATGTTGCATAAGCTTGGTCAATGGTCAGAGGGGTTTAAATTAATGTGTTTTAATAACTTTAAGTGTTCAGTCGGCAAAGTCGTGAGTAGAAGGGTCCATATGACAAACGGAGCCAAGTATAAGAGTATTCCAAGTCACTCCGCCTTTTGAATTTTTACAACCCACATTTGGACATTAGAGCACCTCAATTGGAACTAAAAAGGACAAAAAATATATAATAAAAAATTTAAGATGGGTTACTCATGTAATAGCAGGAAACCACATATATCCAAAGCCTACAAGAATTAAAGAAAAAAAGACATTTGACCATCTCTAACAAGCAGTATGGGAGTGCATGGGGAAGAAAAGGAGAAAATAAATTAATTGGGGAGTTGGAGGTTAATTTGAGAATTAGAGGAAGAAAAGAGAATGCGATAGAGAAACTTGTGATTAAGACATTTTGTAGAATATAACTGATGTAAAGCTAATACTTCTCATTAACTAGATCAGTTCTTTGGTGAACATATATGCTATGACCAATGAAATTGATCGAAATTTCCATGTCACACAATCCTTCAAAAAAAAACCTTTTGAGGTGTGGGATATGCACTACATTTGACCAATTCATATTATGATCCATTAACCACAACATCACCAAGAAGCATTGGTTGGTCAGGGTTTTAGTCTCAATTTTTGGTTACATGTCTATGCATGTGTGTATGCATGCACGTAGATATGCACCTATTTAAGTAAAGTAATAGGTTATCAAGATATACTTGTGGAATAAGAAAGTTAATTGCAGAAATTTTTCATATTTGTTTTAGCTCGATGACTTCAAGTTTATACACAAACATACATCTCATACTCTATCTATGCGAGTTGTATGTGAGCACCCATATCCCTACCGCCATAAGCACATCTCAAATCAAAATATTTAGGAAATGACGAACCATAAAGGTCTTTTTTTCTTGGACAAGTTATGCAGGCATTATATTGCAAGGATTATAATCCATGAATCATATTATTGGATTATTATATTGTTATTGCATATTTGATTCATTGTACTTTTTTTGGCAAGTAATTTGACTCATTGTACTTAAATATGGATACAGTAAAACCTCGCTAAATTAATAAAGGTGGAACCATGAAATATTATTATTTTGTAAAGGTATTATTTAATCTATAAAAGAGGGTTTTGAGATTCAATGAAAGAAATCATTTATCATTGTATCTTACTAATTTATGTATCGTATTTATTGAATTCTCATAAAAAATAAATTTATTATACATAAAGTACAATGAATACATCAAAATCATTGTATCTTACTAAATAATGTATCATATTTATTGAATTCACATAAGAAATAAATTCATTATACATAAAGTATAATGTATAAGTATGATTTATTGTACTATATTTTTTTGTTAAGTGATTCATTAGAAAAATTAATGTTTGAAGAAACGAGTGCTTTGTTTCTAGCTAAAAGCCTCGGGTGTCTTGCCGCCTTTCTGCACTATTTTCTTTTCAAAACACTGTTTCCTCAAACTCTCTTGATCACTGCTGTATTAATTTGATTTCTGATTATTTTGAAGCATCTTTTTTTTTTTTTGAGAATTGGTAACATGATTATTTTGAAGCTTTATCAATATATAATTCCAGTAACTTGAATGCATAAGCTCATCTTACAGGTAAAGGGGATATATGCATAATCCCACAACTTTAACACTGAACTTGGTACATTCTTATCTACACTTTTGTCAAAAGCCAAGTTTCAAATCTCTCGTTAAACGACCAAAATATGCCTTGTGGCTGATGTACAAGTGAATATACTCAGTAGACATGGGGATCACAGGCTTCGATTTTTGCATCGCTGAAGCATATAAGGGAACACAAACACTTTTAACGCAAATACAATAATCCAATACCAAAGTATAGCAATTAAGAAACTTTAAAAGAAAAAAAAAGAACAGAAATCAAATAAGAGTATATAAAAAATATTGAATTTGCAGCTCCAAAAAACTGTAACTAGGCAACATGAAACTACTTTTATCGAAGATGTTGTGCAGGCTATTTCTAACCTGTAACTCCGGATAGCACATTTGAGTTGCACACATTAGACCGTTATCCAGTGCGGAAATTGAACCATGATGATCCCCTTCAATTGTAAGAGCATTTGCTAGCTGAGAATTGAAGTTGCAGTACCATAACCTCCCGGAAAATCTTCAAGAAAATAATGCAATTTAATCACAATTAGCACGTGCAAAGTCAAATTTAACACCGACTTAGAACTCAATGGTGAACCTTTTTAGAGCTGAATACACTTATTAAACTATTGGTGATCATATCTAATTATACTTGGCATAAACATGACGGGCATATCAATAAAATAACCAAGAACTTTAAGTGCCCATCAAAAAAAGGAGGAAATCAGTAATGTTGGCATTTGGCAAGTAGAAACGATACTTAAATTGCTTGAGAGTAGAAAAGATACTTCTATTACTTATCTGATATTACAAGAAAGGCGCTTAGATTGTTGTAACATCCCTATCCTCCAACCCTTCATTTTGAGTATTTGAATCTTGTTCCTTGATGTGAAACTTTCCATAAGTCCATATAGTGTTCTGGTACTTGTCAGGATGGTTTAGATTGGGATCCAAGAGGCTCAGATGAGATTTGAACTCAAAAATCAAATTCAGCAGTTGCAGATTTTATTTTATTTTATTTTTGTTGTGTCACAATTGCAGTTAGTGAGGCTCGCTTTTCCGACATATTAGGATATGGTGAAAGTTCATTTTGCGATGAGCCTATCATGATTGAGGAGCCACAAAAGCACCAAGGTATCACAATTGCGATCGATGGATCCCTGATTCCCTGTAGTATAAAAGGGGAGCTAAGCTACGAGCAGAGGGATTTTTGGGTTGCATTCAGCATATATCCCCAAGATGACGATCTACACCAAATCTTGGTGATTGTACACGATTATATGCTAGATTTGAGTCTTTAAACATGGAATTTGAAGTGTAAGATTGAGGATACAGGACATGAACTCTAGAATCATTAACTTTGGGATTTGAGCATGTAAATGGACATGAAATGAAAATCTAAGCAAAAACTTGGAATTCTTAGCTAGTGGGTTTTGACCGTGGGGCTCGAGTTTGACTTTTTAGAGTTGACTTTTGTTGAATTTGACCTAGACCAACTATTAACTTATGGGATTGAGTTCCTAGCCTCTTTTGATGTTGTTAAGTATTCTTTTGGCAAGAGTTGAGCCGTTTGGATGTGTCCAGGCATGGAAAGGCATTAGGAAAAGGCATAAATTCCCCCTCAAACTTATACCGAAAAGTCAGTTACACGCTTCAACTATTATGACGACCTATTACACACCGAAACAACTAAAAAGTGAATTTATTTACTACCTACAACTGACGTGTCAAAAAAAGAAAAAAATGAAAAGCGCGTTAAATAAAAAAAAAGTAAAAAAAATGAAATGAAATCCTCTCTCCTCCCCCCCCCCCCCACCCCAATCAAATTCTATTTTAATGATAATTTGATTTCACCATTTTTATTATATTTGATATTTCACTTCAATTTTCTTGGTGGTTGATAAAATTGATGATTTGTGGTTGGTGTGGAGCTTGCAAACCTTAAAAAGAAGGTTGCAGCTTAAGAATTTTTTAACTAAAGACAATTTTAAAAGTTGTAATTTTACCTATGCTACTTGAAGAGAGAACTCTGTTTATTTTGTTTTTATTTTCTTTTCCATTTTTGCTTTGTTTTAGATTTTGTGGGAAGTTATTTTTGTGTGTTTATGATGGTGAACACAGAACGATTTGTTTCAAGGAAATCTTTCTCGGTTATTTCATATTATCTTGTTGCACTAAAAAAAAAAAGATTTTTATGGTGAAATATAGAGATTTGGTACTAATATGGCAATGTTAGTGGTTCCATGGTGGTGTTCATGGAAGAAGAAATAATTGAATGACATGGAGAATTTTATTTGAAATCTGACATGGCATCTGATGTGGCAGTAGATGGCATTAATATGGCGCAAGTGTGATACACTTTCCATTGTGAGAGTGGTACTATACATGGCAGGTAGTAAATAAATTCACTTTTTAATAGTAAAGGTGTGTAATAGGTTCTCATAATAGTTGAAGCGTGTAACTGACTTTTCGGTACAAGTTTGAGGGGGAATTTATGCCTTTTCCCAAAGGCATTCTTTAGGGGGTTAACACTGGCTTGATTAAGCCTTTTTATCTCAATAGGGGAATTTTTCCCAAACTTTATGTGTGTTATGTTCTTTGTATTGAGAGGGTAGAGTAAATATGGCGTGACAAGCATATATACAACTACCCGGCAATTGAAGGGATTTATTTGGTGCAAGAAATATTGGAGAAGAATATTATTGAATTGTGGATCCTTCGGGGTGGCCCAGTGGTTTGGGCTTGGGACTTCTATGTTGGAGGTCTCAAGTTCGAAAACCCTTGCCAGGGAAAGCAAGGGGTTTGCCTTCTGGGTCAAGCTCGTCGCACCGGACTTGCCTAGTGCAGGTTACCTCTCATGTGTGGTTTGCGAGCTATTGCATAGGAGCAGGGGTTTTACCCCGTGCACACCCAAAGGATAGCAGCTACGAGTTTCCCTTGTTATCAAAAAGAGAATACTATTGAATTGTGTATTTACATTATTACATTGAGATCCTATTTATAGACACAACATTAGGACTCCTTTTCCAACTAGGACACTACATTAAAAACCTTTTCAAAGTATGATCTATATGCTATTCTTGTTCCTATTCATATTCTAACACTCCTCTCAAGCTTGGTGCATACAAGTCATATGTACCAAGCTTGTTACAGATGCAATTAATACAAGCACGGGTTATGGGCTTGGTGAAGATATCTACAAGTTAATCACTCCACTTCACAAATTTTGTAACAATATCTCCCGAGAGTATCTTTTCTCTAACAAATTGACAGTCAATCTCATTGTGCTTAGCCCTTTCATGATATACGGGATTTGATGCAGAATGTCAATATAACACAGAATGATCAGCTCCACTATGAGTCATGCCAAACTCTGGAATTACTATGTTGAACTTCCCAAACAAAACTCAAGAAAATTGTTTCAGACCATAGAGTGACTTGTGCAATCAACATACAAGGCTACTAGACTCCTCCTGAGAAACAAAACAGGTGGTTGCTTCATATAGACTTCTTTCTCGAGATCACTGTGGAGAAAAACATTCTTAGTGTCCAACTAATCAAAAAACCAATGGCGATTGGCAGCCATGAATGTGGACAAATGTTATTTTAGCCACGGGAGAGAAATTATCACAATAATCTAGCCTAAATATTTGAGTATACTCTTTTGACAAAAGTGAACCTCAAAAGAGAAAACACTACTGGAAACTCAAGATATGCCAGAAACAATGTAACTTTTGCGGAAAGTGCTCAATATCTTGTATAAAATATATGGATCATCTTGAAATCAAGTAGTTGATATTGAACAAGAAATTCACCGAAAAACTAGTATAACACATATAGGTAGTCTCGAAATCAAGAGATGAGTAGATCTTGAAAAGAAAGCTGCCAAAAACTAGCCGGAACAAGCTCACGTGCCAACGCGTGGTCAGATCACGTTGAAGGTGATGATATCCTGGGTGGCGCATGGAGGTGTGTGGGAGGTCGATTCACAACGACGCCAGTTGTGGTTTGGTCGCAGGGAGACACTGTAACACCCCACTATTTGAAAGAGCTAGAATTAGAAAGAACCACTTTCGGAAAGAATGAAAATCTGAAATTTGGCAAGTTATGTTGAGTATGAGTTTTGGGTCAACTTCAAACGACCATAACTCTTAGTACATGATGAGTTAGGTGGGCTACAAGATATCAAATTAAAGGCCTTTGAATTATCTTTCCAACGCCACCGAGTTTGCTAATTTTCGAGCTCGTATGAGGGAGATACACCCATTTAAAGTCGGGTTGTCCAGTTAAGGAAAGTTAACCGGATTTAAGAGGGGTATTTTGGTCATTTCCCTAACCGGATTTTAGTAATTTATTTGGGGTCTAAACTGATTTGGTTCAGTTTACACAATTACAAAATTACGCTAGGGCTTTGAGAGAGGAGAAAAGAGGAGAAAACCCAAGGTTTCATCACGTTTGTGAGTTTTCGCTTTTGGATTTCGCCAAGGGTTAATCCCTAAGAGGTATGTGAGATCACATAGCGTTGGGTTGTTCACCCACGTGCCAATCATGATTAACTTCAGCGTATTTACGTTCTTGAAATTTGAGTATATGAGTTCTTGATGAATTTTGTTGAAGTTTCGTTTGAATCTTGATGGTTGGGTTTTGGAGGAGTTCTTAAGATGATTTGATGAGATGTATGGTTGGTTTTTAGTAGATTCTTGTATACTTTGGTTGGGTATTCGAATCTAAGTGTTTGGGGAAGAAACCAATTGAATCTAGACGATTAAGGGTCAAAATACGAACAAGAAAATTTGTGGGTTTTCTGGGTAGGGGGCTAGCGCACCGCGCCACTCAGTGCGCCAGAGAGGAGTGCCTGTAGTTTGGCCTCTGGGGCGCCGCGCCACTCAGTGCGCCCCAAGCCAGCTTTTGTAGTTCAGGGTCTGGCGCCATACGCCACTCAGTACGCCAGGGTTGCCAGGTCCTCTACCCTTTCCCTCTTCTTTCCGTTTGAGTTCCCTCGAATCGTACCTATGTTTTCTAGTTGTTTTCTACACTTTAAGGTACGTTTAAACATCGAGAGATCATCCATAACATGAGATCATAACCTTGAATCCATAATTCAAATTCAAGGTAGAGCTAAGAGTCAAGTCAATAGAGTTCTTAGAGTCTTTCAAAAGTCTTATACAATCGTTTTAAACTTGTTTTAAAGACTTAAGCATTGAGTTTGAGAAAGAGTAGAGTCGAGTTCATTTCTTTAAAATGATGTATGGGGACTAAGTACTCCCAAAGAGTAAATGTTTTCACATTTAAGATAAGAGGAAACACCAATTTCCAAATGAGTTTTCATGAGCAATTTTGAGTTCCATCTCTTTTAAGAGATAAGCTTTTTGAGTAATAACCTCAAACCACAAAGAAAGAGTTGCATTTTTAAACATATGAGTTGAGTATATTTTGGGAGTAATATTGAGCAGCGATATGGGGACGAATTCATAATAACTCAAGTCTCCATAAACCATGTGGCCATCATGGGTAGAAAGGGTCATACTTTTTAGATGATTCCTTATGCTTTTTAGCATAGACTAGTGGATCTACTTAGTTGAGGCGTTTTATATCCCGGCAAGCTATAGGACAGTTTTGGCAGCGTGGGCAAGACGTTGTATCATCACATAGCTCGTAGTGATGGTTGCTGGTTAGAGAATCTCCCAAATAGAGTTTATTTTTGTATTCTTATATACATATGAGATATTATTGTATTTTCCAATACTTTGAGATGTTATTTGCTGTTTCAAATGTTTTATATAAACTGCATATTTATTGTTGTTTATTTTTGCATTGAGTTGAGTATCCATGAGGCGAGGTAAGTGTTTCTTTCAGATTTCAGTTCAAGCTTATCGCATGCTTAGTTTCCCCTCGCATGATTGTAAATTCAATGTACTGACGTCATTTGGCCTGCATCGTCTTATGATGAGATACAGGTAACTAGGATCAACATCCAGCGCTTCGTTGGTCCAGTTGAGCTTCTGAGTCACTTGGTGAGCCTCCTTGTTTTTCGGAGGATCTCTTTTAGTATGCTTCGTTATTTCAGTTGTTAGGATGATCGAGGGTTTTGTCCCGACCTATGTTGCGCGGACTCTTCATATTTGCAGGCGAACCCGTCTCGACGCGACACTGGTGCGGGTGCGGGGTGCGTATCAGATTCGGTCAGTCTGATCCGAACACTTTGACCGAAGCCGAGAAAAGATTTGGGGAAGAAAAAATCAGTTTCCGACGACGTAAAGAGGACAAAGCTTGAAAAAGTACAGAGAAGAGAAGAAAGAAGAGAAAATCAGTTTCCGGCGACATAACGAGGACAAAGCTTGAAAAAGTACAGAGAAGAGAAGAAAGAAGAGAAAATCAATTTCCAACGACGGCGATGTAAAGAGGACAAAGCTGAAAAAGTACAGAGAAGAGAAGAAAGAAGAGTTTTTTCTTGAAAAAGTAAAGGAAATATAGAGCTTTTTTTTATCTTTCTTGAAAATATATGTACACAATACATACACCCCTCTTGAAAAAAAGAAAGCTCAAAAAGTCTTCCAAGTAGAGTACCGTCAGAAAGATGACATCCCATCAGCCATCAACTAGTCCAAAAATCTTTTCATTCTCACCAACTTACATGTCTAAAGAAAATAGGAAAAGAGACGTTAGAAAAAAGTTTTTTTTCAGTTGAAAATACCATATATATATATATATATATATATATATAAAGAGAATGAAATGAAGAAATATTACAATTTACATGTATAAAGAAAATAGGAAAAGAGACGTTAGAAAAGGAGAGAAGGGAACAATATTTTGAAAGATAATATTTTGTCCATATAAATAGGACGAGTTTATCACAAAATATCTCTCAAAGTTAGAATATCTTCATAACTATATTTTTATAATATTGAAAAAATTTAGCCATATCCCCGCACCCGTATCCATACTCGGATTCGCACCCAAGTCCGAGCTACTTAGGTCCCGACATCCCTCATAGTTTTAGAGGCTTCATAGATGGATAGTTATAGTTCGTTAGTCTTTCCATTTTCAGTTGTTTATGTTAAGATTGGAGTTGCCACTTTGGCTAGTTGAATGTTTATTTCTAAAACATTCCAAGTTTATTTTGAGATATTGAGTAAAGTTGCATTGTTTTCTCTTACTAATGCTTAGTCTTCCGCTGAGAGTCTAGCCAGGCCAAGGATTCACTTGGGGCCAGCAATGGTTCTCAAGTGTCAGTCCCGCCCAAGGTGTAGGCTCAGGGCATGACAGACACTATACCCTTGATGGTGTTGGTTTTCGCAGAACACAAACAAAAGGTGAGGTGAAACTACGTAAGTGAAGTTTGAGGAGTCCCCAAAAAGATGCACAAAAGTATGCAAATTAGATTTGAGGAGTCACCGGAAAGATGTACGATGCTATGCAAATTAGATATGAGAAATTAGTCATCGAAAAGATCCACGGCACTACACAAAACGAATATGAGAAACTAGTCACTAGAGAGTTGCACAGTCCTGCACAACTCAGATCTAAGAAGCCACACGAAAGAAGTAAGGTGGCCACCTTTATTGTCATGAATGCTTCTCAAATCAGCCTTTCACAGCATGATCCTTTTTCATGCACATAGTATTGCCCCAACTTTTGCTAACATAATCATTGGTCAGACGGGCGGCTATATAAGTTATAAATTATAACCATCTGCCAATTGCGTAAGTTTTTTTAATTTCTCTACCAAGATTGTAGAGCCTCTGATTAGACCTTTATTTATGGACACTACTTTAGACTCTTTTTCCAACTAGGACACTCCATCGTAATCCTTTTCCAAGTAGGATTCTATATGTTATTCTCGTTCCTTTTTACATTATAATACTTGGAATGCTAGAGTGTACCTTTACGACTCATACATGTATTATAATGACATGATTTATCTCTATATTTGTTGAAGTTATAACTTAACTTCTACATGCTATACATTGTATTTCTTTCTCTGCTCCTTATCTTGATATGATACTATTGTAGAGTTGTGATATGGAGATTTGGGATTGTGTGAGTTAGATATTGACATAGTAATGGGGATCGTGGGAGTCCAATTTGATACAGAGATGTGGGGACTATTGAGTTCGTGAGATTATTGGTATGAACAATGTGTACGTGTGGATATGACTTTGTCCTTCATAAGTCACAACTTGGTACATCCCTTGCGGTGTGCACGCTGGTTACTCTGAAAGTTGATTCCGTTGAGTTGGTTTATACAAGTGTTAAAGATTGAATCCTTAGTGCATTTCTTAACTTCTACTTGATTTTAATTGATTATTTGAGTTGCACATGTCTATCTTTTATGCATTGTGATGGTCGTTTATTGATATTAACAGCTTACTAAATGCATGTCTTTTGTTCCATTTCCTTCTCCTTTTTCTCTCTTTCAATATTTTGTACTTGTTGAAGGTATTGGTTTACTATTAGTAACGTTCGACACTACTTTATTAGGAGCGGTCTATGATACTTGTTGAGTACATTTGATGTACTCATACTTTACTTATGTACTTTTTCTGTAGGTTCAAATCTTAGTACTCGTGGAATCCGTGAGTGAGTTACTAGCTCACAACCACTAGGCCTTGTTCTGTTGTAGCCATGACATCTTTCTTATTCTAGTCAATTGTATTTTCATTCAATCAAACTATTCTTGTTCTGAACATAGTTGTATTTTCATTCCTAGTTAGCATAGCTAGTCATTGGGATGAATTTTGGGTTACATTTCGGCATTGTACTAGATTCTTATCTCTAGCTTGATATTTAATTATTTATTACTATTAGACTTTAATGTTCTGCATTGGTTTAATTTAATTTCTTATAAAATGCCTTAGTTTGCCTGACTTGGGATAGGAAGGTGTCATCACAGCTTATGGGGATTTGGGTCGTGACAATAGCTTACCACAAAATTCCAAGTGACCATTAATTAAAAATTATGATAGTTAAGGCCATAACGCAACAAGCAGATTACATAGTTGTAAGTGTGCCCCAATTTTTGTTTTGTTTTATTTGGTAAACCTCACCCAATAGTTTTTTCCACTCCCCCTTTGTGACTGGAACTCTCAATTTCTAGGTTAGAAATGGAGGACTCTACATAAATCCAACTTGTACTAGTTTATGCCCATAAATGTGCTATAACTGACATTGTCAATAGTAACACAAGGTGCAAAAGAAGGCATACCCATCTTCAGAAGTTGAAATAAGTTCTAAACCCTTGTTCAGTATCTGCTTTTGTGAAGGAATAGCCCCGACTAGCTGGTAACACTGGCTCAACAAGCTATATGCTCTGCATTTGAGCTCAAAGCATGAGGGAATGGACTTCAAGAGCAATTGCTGAAGCATGTAAGCAAGTATTAGTAAAAAGAATTGTAAATCCCTGCCCAATTCTTGTTGTTGCTAAGCAGATGACTTACAGAGCGTTCGAGGTGGGATTTGGCATGGTTGACATTATTGGAGTGGTTGAGAAGGAGAGTAGCAATGCGGAGGCGTGTTTTAATCTCGATAATAGGAAGGAAAGAAACTTGGCTTTGACATATAGCTTCCAAGCATTTCACAGCTTTTCCAATTTCTCCCTTCTTCTCCTCATAATCTGCCAGTCCCCAAAGTCCCTCCGCCACTGCTTCCATTGTTTCCGAATTCCGACTTCCTTCACCAGCCTTAATAAGCGCAGCGGGAACCTTAATAAGCTCAGCGGGGAAGCTTTTTCATAGTTTAAATATAAATTGGGGATTTTACTATCTGGATCAACCCATTTGGCGGCCCTTAAGAGTGATTTGAAGGAAATTAATTGGGGAGAGGTTTGACTTGGTGTGTTAAAAATAGAGAAAATGTCACAAATGGGTCCTAATTATTAGACTAAGTTTAAAATAGTCCATTAATTATATATTTATCGAATTTAGTTATTTAATTATATAAAATGTTATCAAGTTGGTCTTTTAACTATATATTTTCTGAATTTAGTCTTTTAACTATCTCAAATGTTATCAGGTTTGGCCATTTAACTATACATTTATCGATTTTAGTCTGTTAACTATACACCTACCAATTTTAGGCTTTTTTAAAAAGAATTCAAAAACTTATCAGATTTGATCTATGTCTATCTTTTATACAAATAGCTTAGGTTAATATTTACGAAACTCTCATGTCTTCGTAAAATTAAATGTTTAACCCATTTTTTCAATTGTTTCTCTTTCACTTTTACTTTTTCTTCAAATTATTCTTATGAAAAGAACTTAATCTCAATGATCCAAAATAAAATGCTCTTTTCTTTAGCGGTTAACGGTTCATAATGAGTGTGAATTTTTTTAATTCTTTTCATACAAAAAAATAAATGATTTGATCTTGTTACTCAAATTTCTCTAATGAACAAAATAATAAATCGATCTATTTTAAAATAAAACAAATCTTAAAAAAAAGTTGCAAAACTACCATATTATAAATTTCAACTTCTAAAAAATTAAAAAATTACCTTCATTAAAATCGTTGGAGTACAAAACTTGGAAGCAAAATATGTGAGTAAAGAACTTTTAATCTTATTATCATTGCGGAAAATTCATTTCTATCAAATATAAATAAATCTCTATATATCTAACAAGTAATTATTATTTTTTCTTTTTATAATAAATTTTAGCATTTTTAAGTCATTAGCAACAATAATATACTTCATTTCATTCTCCATTGAATAAAATCAGGACTTATATCCTCTTTTCTCGTGAATTTTATTTTGAATCTTGAGATTAATGTTCTTTTCTTAAGAGTGATTTGAAGGAAAGTAGCTCGAAAATGAGTTGAAGATTTAATTTCACTGAGACATGAGTTTTGTTCATATAAACCTAAACTATTTTTACAAAAAATAGTAAGAGACCAAACATGATAAAAAAATTAATACTTAAAGTACTAAAACTAGTAAGTGTATAGTTAAAAGACTAAACATGATAAATATATAGTTAAGGGATCAAACTTGATACCATTTTGAATAATTAAAGGACTAAATCTAATAAATGTATAATTAAGGGACTATTTTAGACCTAGTCCAATAGTTCATGGACCATTTGTGACATTTTCTCATTAAAAATGTATGAACGATTTGATAGAAGGTATAAAAATAATACTTACTATGGTGTAAAAAGATATAAAGTCACCACTGAAGTTGTCCCGAATTTTCAAAAAGACACATTAACTTTGCAACTGTTCTATTACCCCACTAAACAATTTTGAACAGATATTATTATATCATTTTTCGATCAGCCCTAGATTTTAAGAAGCAAGTGTGTTCACACACTAATCATTACATGACACGTGTTAATTTAATTAAAAATGTATTTTTTTTTCATTTTAAGTTCTCTCTCTCTCTCTCTCTCTCTTTGACTTATTTGAATTTTAATTTTATCTTAAATTTCACTTCATCATCCACCTCTTACTTTCAAGTGATTCATCCCTTCATTTTCTTTCTTTTTCTTCACCTCCCACCCTCACTCCATCCCCACGTCAAGTTGAACCACACTCCCATTTTTTTTCTTCTTCTTCTCCGGTCAAATTCTTTATAAAATTCATACTATTATTTAGACTTTATTGAATTTTTGATAACAAAATTAATTATTTTCTAAGAAAATTTAAAATTTTGAAGGTATCATCAACTACTCCATTTCATATAACTTCAAAATTAGAAATGACAATTTTAAAAGAACCAATGAATTCCCCAAAAATTGAAAGAACTTACTTGAAATTGGATAAAGAAAATTATATGATACCTTCCTAATCATCTTGAAATCTAATGGGTTTATCAAATTGTTCGAAATGTAAGAAAATATTTAGATAAAGTTTTAAAATTAAAGAGAATAAAACTAATAGTAGTAAAACAAGGAAGGTGAAATTGTGGTAAAAAATGTGACATTGAAAGTGAGAAGCCTCAATGGAAATGACAATGGATTTTTGAAGAAGAAAGAAAAAAAAAGAGGAAAAATAAAAAGGAAAAAAAGTTAAAATAATAAGAAAAATAAGAAATACTAATAAATTATTTGTAAAAATAAAATTATATTAGTTATTTTAGGTTGCTCATTCTCTTTGAGAGAGTGCACACCACTCTCTATGTCAGGTGGACGAAAAATGATATAATAATAACTGTTCAAAATTTTTTAGTGGTGTAATATGACGGTTGCAAAGTTAAGGTGTCTTTTTGAAAATTCGGAACAACTTCAGTGGTGACTTTATGTCCTTTCTCCAAGGATTAATAATGCATGGATTAGTAGTGCAACAATTAGTTTTTATCAAGTGTTTGGTTCATTGTTTCCCACATAATTTGTGTTTTCTTTAAAACTCTACAATAACTTCTTTATTATTAACTCTAGAGTTATTATGGGATTTCCTATTTCATGTAATTGGGTCAAGATAGATAATTATCGGATATTTTTTTTTTTTGTGGTCTTCTAATTAGCTAGGAGAAGAATAATTTTGTCGCCATGTTTGTTGTTTTCTCACTTGAATTATTGCGAATGATATTTTACAAAAGTCTTCTTTAATATTATACTCATGAATTTTTATAAGATTTTCTATTTCATTTAATTAGTCAAAGTTAAATAATAATATATATTAAAAATATATTATTAATTTGAGGTGTGATGTATCATTACGGAGATCCTTTATAGTGTGGTGTACTTATATTGTTTTGGTGGTCAAATATATCGTAAGCTTCACATATATTTATAAAACCTCAAAATTCAGAAAAGGAAAGAACACCAAAGAGGGCTATTGGTTCAATTCCACGAGATCAATCTACAGTTCGTAGGAAGCCCTACGGGTCGTAGACCAGTCTCATAGGAAGTGGGGAAAAATTATTATGGAAATCAAGCCCCAGTAACACATTCTACGATTGATCAGGATGGTTTGTCGAATGGACTACAAACCATAGGAATATCCTATAGAAAGGTTCCAGACTTAGTGAATTTTTATTTGAAAGCTGAGATCTAAGAATGGGGTCTACGGACCATAGAAAGTTTGACGGTCCGTAGAAATGGGTTGTTGGATTTGTCAAGATTTTAGGCCCAGTCACTTGACCTACGGTTGACCAGTACAATCCATAGGTCGCAATCGTAGGATTGACCGATAGTTATTTTAATTGGGTCTTTTCCTATGCACCTACTTCCAATATTGTATCGTTATGCCTATATATAAGCCCCTATAACTGATTTTAGTCCTAATTATACTTATTCTCCTTCATTACCCCAAAATCCCCAAAATTTCTCTTATAGGTTTTCTCTCCAAGGCTCTCAAGGATTCTAGGGGTCTTCAAGTTCAAGTCTTCTTTCTTCATCATTTACTTAGAACTTCAAGGCTGAGGTATGTAGGGAGTTCATCAATGGGTTTCATTCACCCATTGAGTCCCACGTTTTCTCTGAATTCTCCAATTCGAATTCCATAAATTGGTTAGGTTTTCATTAAATTCCTCATGGGTTCAATTTGTATGGATTGAATTGCTTGATGTTGATCATATTATGAATGTTTAGACACAATTACATATTTTTCAACTAATTTCATATGAACCATGTATTGATCATGATTTTGACTATGAACCCTAATTTGCATGAATTTATAAAGAAGCTATGAAACTATGAATGATGTTTTCATGAACTTATGCATGATTCATAAAAGGAAATGTTTATGATTTAGGTTTCTTTAAGATTGAAATCAAGTCAATTGTGAAATTTTTTCTCACATTAAGGGATCATGGTTTTCTCACTCACACACGATTCAAGATTTAAGGAGCTATTCTATGATGTTTTTAGCTTGGATTAGTACCTTAATTGTAATTTTTTATGGATGATGTTATGTTTATAATTATGACAAATTCCGTTGAAATTTTACTTAGCATCGAGAGGCTATTGAGATGGAGGCTCTCCCGTTAGTAGAGGTCAGGTCTCTAGTAGCAATCTAAGTGTCTCTAACTACATTCCCTCATAGGTTGTCTTAAGTGACATAGCTAGTGGATCAACCTAAGCTAGAGTTTAAGGTCCTTGCCTTGGCAAGTAAGGTCATTTTTTTTCGGTGTGGGAGCAAGACACCAGATTCCACATTATAGCTCACGTGGTCTACGTCGATTAGCAGTAAATATCCCAGAAAAAGAACTAAGTTACTATCAAAGGTTTTATGAAGCTTTCCTCATGATTTTAGATTTATTGACCATGTTTATGATTATGATTCTTCTTTAAGGATTTTACGATGTTTAGTTTGGTCATTCACATCATGTTTTCGATTATGTCCCCTTATGATCATATTTCATGTTTTATTGCATGTCATGTACTAATGCATACTTGTGCCTACATTGTTTCACTAATGTAGGGCTTGGCGACTCCTCTCCCTCCGTTCATGGCTAGTTGATCCCTCTAGAGATTTGAAGACTTGGTGAGTCATCATACTCCAAGGAGTGTGTTGCATTTATTGCTTTCTTATGTCATTTACTTTCGAATGTTGTACGTGGTGTGCAGGTTACGTCCTGACCACTTCATTGATGTTGTAGATGGGCTTGTCAAGATTATGTTATACTTCCTCTATAAATGTCAAACTATTTCTTACTATGAAACTCTCTACTTTCGTCTAGTATTTTTTGTTGAATGTATGTCAAGTGGCTTGTGTAGGACCTCTCAGGGTCTTATACACTATGTCA